TGGACATCAAACTACTGGAGCTCTTTCAGAATTGGTTAGATGTGTCCCTTCGCTAAGATAATTAAAAAAGTTTTTAACCGCACTGATTTAAATTAATTTTAAGTACACTCATTTGATGTGTCAGAATCTATTGTATTGTACACAATATGCTTCTGAAGTTACAACTGAGGCCTTCAGTGCTCATATCCCACTAACGGCGCACTGAGTGAATTTGACTGTGCAGTCAAAAACTGCATTCAAGGGTGGATGATTTATGACAAACCAAAGATAACAGCAGCTAATCTGTCTTTTGCAAGGATGCATGATAATATCAGAACTCAGAATCGCATTGTTATCGGTAAGTAACTTACGGTGGCCGATAAGACCCGATTTATAGTACAATTAAAAACACTTTGCAGCACTTTTATGAGTTTGCAATCACAGAAAACACTTTCATCAACATGACGACATCGGAGCTACATTTCACAAATATACTGCAACTTCAGAAACACAGCAAAGCCAGTCACAATACAACGGAGGTGTAGAGGGGCTCAAGGAGGATGGAATATCTATGATGGAAAACCACTGACAGAAGTAGACCAGACCACAGACACTCGGACACTCACATCCCGAGTTCATAGATAACCCAGCTGGCTAGTTCACTATCTGACATGTCACAGCTGTTCTTTGGTGTCATTAGTTTAACCTCTACAGTTACACTCTACAGCTAATCCCCATTATGATACAGTGATGTCAGTAATCTGCTCAAATATAAGTTAACCTTTTCAACTCCTTGGGACCACCGGTGGTTCCAAAACACACTTCATCATATTCTTCATAACTTTCATATTTCATAAGCTACATTCAGAAGGTGGGGGTCGTATGAGAGCTGTAACTGTCTTCTTTCCAGTCAAATAGATGGGTGATGTAATTTTAAACCCTTATAATAAAAGAAGCTGAACTCACAATTTTTTTTTCTACTGAAAGTCGACCCATTTTTCCACAAATCTGGGCTATAAACTATAAACAGATGGCGTCTCTTCAGTGATCTGCTCTGTAAACATTATTTTTATAAAATAATATAAAGAGCGTCTAAGATTTTTGGCTTTCAGCAGTAAATTGTAAGCATATAGCAAAATGTATATGATCATAAAACACATGTTCTGTTAATTTGAGGGGAGCTTTTACAAAAAAAAAAAGTAAAATAAAAATTTACATTCATTTCATGCAGTTACTGAATAACTTGCCTTACGATTTGGTCATGTACATTCAGATGGACAAACTCAAAATATACCCTGGGGATACCGGTAAATGTTTGTGCTGCACAGGATTTAAAAGTCTCAATGGCACTATAATTAATAAACTATAATTTACTATAATTATGTAAAATCCTATACTATATTTAATAAAGTCCCAGTATAGTTAGATAATACCTGTGGTTTGTCAAGCTTTAAGCACTCCTGTCATTCTCCTGTCTCACTCTGAGCACTCGGTGGGATCAACTGAGAATGAGAAATATGCAGTGTGTTTGGCAAATACTCCCATAATTAGTGTATGAATATGATGAGAAATCATTGTAATAAATAGGCGCATTAATAGGAGACGTATCAGAAAAATTTGATAATTAGCCATGTCACAGAAATCTAATCAAAGCGTCTGACTGCAGGTCTGTACTGAAAGGTTGGCTCATGTATCATTACATAAAAGCGTTTTAGAAGGATTTGTGAAAACTGATTAAATAAACAAAACAAACAAACAAATAAACATGCCAATGGGTACACTCAGAATCAGGGTTGAAAAGGCAATTGTTGCAGTGGGCAGCCATCCAGATAATCTGCATAATGCCACCCACACAGCGCCCCTGGATCCAGAGACAGAGTGCAAATGAAAACATTTCAACCCATAAAGCCACTGAATCTGAAAGCATCCTATGGAGGCAAGTCCCATCCAATAATATCAACACACAAGATCACTGAACTCCAGTCTGCTCGCTATGAGATGAAATAACGAGCAAGCGACAGCAAACTGATTCCTCCTGTAATGCTGTACAGTACAGGCTGGGAGGACAATTTCACCAACTTTTCTAAATTTCTGCATAAGTAATTAGTTAACAAAGTCATTCAGAGTGGTTTGATGTAAAATGTGCCGTTCTGGAGAAACTTACTGACTCAGAACTGTTCAGTGGTGGTGATGGGAACCAGACGTTTGAAGAGATTAACTCTAAAACTTTAGTTATTACATTAAATGGTACTAAATACATTGCATGGTGGCTTATACATTGTTTTAGACAAGGTATTGGCCTAAAATGTATATTTGTTAATATACTTTGAAGACGAAGAGGTACATGCAGGCAAATGAGTCAGGAAAGAAAACATCCACCTCTAAAAGCTCCATCACAGAAAGTTTTACATGAAATGTTTATGAATACACTATCTGACGTCTGAGACGTTGTTTCACAGTAGTTTTGTGATAAAGTTTTTACTCTAAAACTCATTTTAATCAGTTTATTTTATCCAATTCATGCTAGAGGGATAGAAAGGTGTTCGAAGGCAAAATAGTCCCCAAAGAAAACTTATTATTTCAGATTTTCCACTATTTTACCATCATCAACGATACATATAAAAGCTCAGAAGACACGTGTAGGTTCACTGGTGGTTTTGGGTGGCAAATAAAATGGTTATATTAGTATTGTAGACATCACTACCCTTGGTTCCTATCACCACCACTGTAAAGCAATCCAGGTTTATAAGTTTGTCTACAATGAACTATGTCACATTAAACCATTCTGAGCAACTGTTTACGTCTTAACGATTTAATTATGCAGAAAATTCGAAATATGGGTGGAATTCCCCTTTAATCTAATATCAAAACAAACCAAATTTCACCATGTAAGGCTCTGAAACTCCAAATCTCTCGGCAAATGCATGTAAACACACCCCACAGAAAGGAAAACGTGGGTTCGACTGGTAAGTATGAAAGGAGTTTCAAGGGCCAGTCTTGCCTATAGATTTTTCCAATTAATTATGATGTCATTTCCTTACATGAATAAGTCAAATTCGAGGCTGAAGAAAGAGAAAACATAAACGTAAATAACATCAAATTACATTTAGCTTGAATTCAGTGTAAGTGCACGTTTTACATTCCCACCTGCATGTATACCTTTCCAACAAAGGACAATTATGGCACCTTGGAGGCAGAACAAGCTTAAATGGAATCCCTAATTACAGCATCAATTCATTAGCGCCATTACAACTAAGAATGAATTGTTTCATTAGCAATCTGGTGATAGCTATAAATCATAATACGAAGAGTCCAGATCTTTGCTCCGTTTCTGAAAGAGCAGCTGAACTTTAGAAGGGGGAAATAAAACAGATTAGGCTGTACGGTAATCTAATCTTTGAAAATCCATAATGTAATACTGCTGGATTTGTCTCCTACGTAAAGCAGCACTAGAGGTCAGTGACAATAGATTTCTGGCTACATTTCGCTGTAATGAAGCCAAATCCATAGTAGGGAATAATGACTTTCTGGTTTAAAAGCTATTTTGATTTTCTTTCAAGAGTCTGACAACTCGCAACTATGTTTACGCATGTGCAGTTGTGTCTGCAGCACTGAAAATAAGCCAGAATATTTCATAACTATAACAAACAGGCAGTTTCATTAACACCAGGCATGTGTTACGGTGTCTGAGGGAATCCTCAAGTTAAATTTAATACTTTTAAAACTACTTCAAATGTAATTTAAAGGGGGGAATTCCACAATTTTTTTCAAAATTTGTGCACAATTCAGTGGTTGAGATGTAATTAAATTTGATGTGAAATGCTCTGTTGTAGAGAAACGTAATGAATCTCGAATTCTTTACAGTGGTGGTGATGGGAACCACTGTAAAGAATGTCTATAAAGCAAATAAAATAATCTTATTCACTATCCAAAAGCACCAGTGAATCTGCACGTGTCTGAGTTTTTACATTAATGTTAATAATGTTGTTAAAATAGCTGTATATCTGAAAATATAGGTTTTTCCTTACAATGTCGTGCATGTATCTCTGCCATGAGTGGATTTAAAAAAATATACTTTTGGACATCTTTTCTGTAAAACTATTGTAGAATAATGACTCAGTAATCATTCAGTGTATAAACGATTTCATGTAATAACTTTCTGTGAGGGAGCTTTTAGAGGTGGACGTCTGGTTCCTATCACCACCACTGTGAACAATTCTGACTCTGTAAGTTTCTCCAGAACAGAGCATCTCAAACCAAACCACTATTAATGACTTTGTTTACATCTTAACTGTATTTACATGATTTAATTATGTAAAAACAGTGGAATTAGCTTTTAAGACCAAATTCCAGTGAGTTTAACAGCTGTAAAGAGAAACAGTTTTGCTTGTATCTGTGACTAAGTTATGTATTATGTTTTAGACACACATACTTCAACATCTATGGTCAGTAAATACTTGTATAGGTATGCAAGTGTGAGAGTGAGGTTCTAAATATGTAATCTAAATACATAAATACGTTTTACAGCATCACTGTACTCCTTAAAATCAACTGAATTCCTTAAAAGCAAAAATCACTGTAAGCTCACCTTTTGTTGAGGTTTTCTTAAAATCTTGAAAATACTAATATCTTAATATTGCCATGTTGCACCTCTTTAGAACCAACATCTATTGCATGACATCAGAAATAACTAAATAATTTAACAGTAATTAACTTTTCAAATGTTCGCCGTCCAATTTACCTTCATGCTACTGATTATTTTAGCCAACTGACTCGGCTACACCATGCTTGTGAGTAAGAACTTTGATTCATTAACATCAGACTATGTGCGTTTTTCCTTTTTCTTCCCCATGGTTAACTGAATATCCATTTGCTATTTTTTTTAAAATTTAAGACGATGTAGTTTCAAATTTAAGACAATTTCATACTTATTAAGGCCATAAATTTGTAGAATGTAACAAATTCAGGACTGCAAGAACCCTGATGTGTGCATTTGGGCAGCCACCAGCAGTCCAACTCACCTGGCAGAGGTGGAGGTGAAGCAACAGGTTCTTTTACAGCAGGGGGCGCAGTAGCTTCAGCAGCGGCAATAGCAGGTGGGGCGGCAGGCTCAGCTGGGGGACAGGGGGCAATTACTTCCACAGGTGGAGGTGCAGCAAGCTCAGAAGCGGGAAGAGGGGCAAGGGGAGGGGAAGCGACGGGCTCTACAGGTGGAGGAGGTGCAACAGGTTCTACAGGTAGGGAAGAGGTGATTATTTCTGCTGTAGGAAGAGGTGCAATAGGGTTAGTGTGGGGAGGGGAAGCAGTGGATTCAATGGAAGAGGAGGCAAACAGCTCATGTGGAGCAGAGGCAGCAGGCTTGGCTAAGGGAGGGGAGGTAATAGGTTTAGGAGCAGAAGAAGAAGCAGGTGTTTTCACAGGTGGAGCAAAGGACTCACCTATCGGTGTGGACACAGCAGGTGGCACTGTTTCTATAGGTGCAGAGGGGGCTACAGGCTCAGGAGCTGGTGGAGGCACAGCAACTGGGGCAGACTGAGGTGGAAGAGAGGTGACGGGATCAAACGGAGGACGTATTGGCAACACTGGGGACAGAGGTTCAGCTTTGGGCTGGGGAGGAGAAGGGGAAGGTGGGGGTGACTTTGCCCGTTGTGGGGCTGATTGCTCCCTCATGCGATTGATGACATTCTCTGAGAGCTGAAAATAAGCAGAAACAAAACTCACTGAGGAGAAATCAAGCATGATGCTTAACCACTTTACACAGACTGCATGGTTGGTATGAATGCTTGATATCAGACATGCAATAAATCAGCATGTCTGATATCAACGCCGCTTAAGCGCACTTATCACTGTGACCAAATGCAGAGCCATGACCTTCAGTTCACTGTTTGTTCTGTGGCCCAGATTTAGGTGTTAAACTTAGTACTGTCTTAGTGAACTTTTCAGTAGGACATGAGTTATGGTTAGAACCGAGCTCGTTGCACAATATACACCGATCAGGCATCACATTATGACCACCTCCTTGTTTCTACGCTCATCGTCCATTTTATCAGCTCCACTTACTATATAGGTGCACTTTGTAGTTCTACAGTTACAGACTGTAGTCCATTTGTTTCTCTGCATACTTTGTTAGCCCCCTTTTACCCTGTTCTTCAGTGGTCAGGACCCCCCTGGACCCTCACAGAGCAGGTACTATTTGGGTAGTGGATCATTCTCAGCGCTGCAGTAACACTGACGTGGTGGTGATGTGTTAGTGTGTGTTGCGCTGGTCTGAGTGGATCAGACACAGCAGTGCCACTGCTGGACTGAGAATAGTCCACCAACCAAAAATATATAGCCAACAGCGTCCTGTGGGCAGCGTCCTGTGACCACTGATGAAGGGCTAGAGGATGACCAACACAAACTGTGCAGCAGCAGATGAGCTATCGTCTCTGACTTTACATCTACAAGGTGGAATGACAAGGTAGAGTGTCTAATAGAGTGGACAGTGAGTGGACACAGTGTTTAAAAACTCTAGCAGCACTGCTGTGTCTGATCCACTCGTACCAGCGCAACACACACTAACACACCACCACCACGTCAGTGTTACTGCAGTGCTGAGAATGATCCACCACCCAAATAGTACCTGCTCTGTGAGGGTCCATTTTGGTTTCTAGCTTATAGTATTTAACCTCTTATGCTCGTGGGTATATGTCAGTTTTTCCAACTGAATTTACATGCCCAAATCGTAAGACAAATTATTCAGTAACTGCATGAAATAAATGTACTTTTTTTTTTTGTAAAAGTTCCCCTCAAATTAACAGAAAATGTGTTTTGTTTTCATAATTATTTTTATAAAAATTATTTTTACAGTATATATCACTGAAAAGACACCATGTGAGATTCAGTTTGTAGCTCAGATTTGTGGAAAAATTTTATTACAAAGTTTTAAAACTACATTTCCCATCTATTTGACTGGAAAGAAGACAGTTACAGCTCTCATACGACCCCCACCTTCTGAACGTAGCTTATAAAATATGAAAGTTATGAAGAATATGACGACGTGCGTTTTGGAACCACCGGTGGTCTCAAGGAGTTAAAAAGATTAATTATACACTGTAGAAGTTAAACTTGCATGAAATTACTTCACATATTAATATGATAAGTGATTCCAAACTTTTGATTTCTGAGATCATTGAGATCCATAGTAGAAGTAAGTGGACTGTTAATGCATTTTTGGCTTAAGCTATTCAGCTATTGTCGAGATAAAGAAAAAACAAAACAAAACAAAGTCATTAAAAGTGGTTTGATGTGAAATGGTTCACTGTAGAGAAACCCAACAACTTCTATTTCTTTAAAGTGGTGCTGACAGGAACCAGGGGTCTCTATGACTACAACACAAATATAGGCATTTTAATTACTATCCAAAACCACCAGTGAACCTACACGAGTCTTCTGAGTTTAAAGATAAGTTTAGTAAAATAGTGATAAAGGTGTTCTTTAGAGACTATTTTCCTGTCTAGCACAAATGGATTTTTAATAAAATGAGTTTTAGGCCAAAACTGTATCTAAAAAATAGAATTATACAATGTTTACAGCATCAGGCAACACATTTGTACCCATTTTGTGTAATAACTTCGTGTGAGGGAGCTTTGAGAGGCATTAAAGTCTTCTGACATCTGGTTCCTATCACCACCTCTGTGAACAATTCTGACTCTACGTTTCTCTAAAGCAGAGCATTTCACACCAAACCACTCTGAACGACTCTGTTTACATCTTAACCATTTAATTATGCAGATTTTTTTAATTGATTAAATTCCCCTTTAACTAATGTGGACATGCTAACAGAACTTGCTTGTAACTGTTGTCTTATTAAAGGGGAATTCCACCAATTTTTCGAAATTTCGGCATAATTCATTAGTTGGGATGTAAGCAAAGTCACTCAGAGTGGTTAGATGTGAAACACTTCATTGTAGAGAAACTCTGATGTTCTTTACAGTGGTGGTGATAGGAACCAGGGGTCACCAACAAGGCCTACAACACAAATATAGCCACTTTATTTACTATCCAAAACCACCAGTGAACCTACATGTCTTCTGAATTGCTATATGTCATGCTGATGACGGTAAAACAGTCATCAATCTGAAAAAATAAGTTTCCTTTGGGGACTATTTCACCTTAGAACACCTTTCTTGTATCCCTCCACCATGAATTGGATATAACAAACTGAATAAAATATGTTTAAGAGCAAAAACCTTAATCACAACACTACTGTGAAACAATGTCTCAGACTTCAGGCAGCATATTCATGACCATTTCATGTAATAAGTTTGTGTGAGGGAGTTTTTAGAGGCATTAAACTCTTCAGACGTCCGGTTCCTATCACCACCACTGTGAACAATTCTGACTCTGAAGCTTCTCTAGAACTGAGCGGTTCACGTCAAACCTCTCTGAATGACTTTGTTGACACATTAACCTTTTCAACTCCTTGAGACCAACGGTGGTTCCAAAACACACTTCATCATATTCTTCATAACTTTCATATTTCATAAGCTACATTCAGAAGGTGGGGGTCGTATGAGAGCTGTAACTGTCTTCTTTCCAGTCAAATAGATGGGTGATGTCATTTTAAACCTTATAATAAAAGAAGCTGAACTCACAATTTTTTGTTCTACTGAAAGTCGACCCATTTTTCCACAAATCTGGGCTATAAACTATAAACAGATGGCGTCTCTTCAGTGATCTGCTCTGTAAAAATTACTTTTAGAAAAAAATACAAAGAGCGTCTAAGATTTTTGGCTTTCAGCAGTAAATTGTAAGCATATAGCAATATGTTTATGATGATAAAACACATGTTCTGTTAATCTGAGGGGAGCTTTTACAAACAAAAATAATAAATAAATAAAATGAAAATGTACATTTATTTCAAGCAGTTACTGAATAACTTGCCTTTCGATTTGGTCATGTAAATTCAGATGGAAAAACCAAAATATACCCGTGTCAACCACTTAATTATGCAGGAATTTTGAAAAATTGGTGGAGTTCCCCTCCTGTTCTAAATTTAACCATGACCCCGGCATGAAGGTGATGCCAGAATTACTACAGTCCATTGTGTACGATGAGCAGTTTACCTGCCAAAATAGCCCAACGAAACAAGAAAATAATCGCTTTTAGGACAGTGACGGTCAGTGTTGAAGTGTGATACAAACTGTTGCTAACTTGTTCCGACTGGTTCAGCAGAAGAGGCTTAAGTTTGCTTCTTTTTCGGCAGCTTCTTGTTCTAATTCTCCCGTTCCACCTTAAATGGTGCAGCAGCTACATGTACCTGCAGAAATCCATGCGTGGCACACAATGTAACTGCTGCACCCATTTAAGGTGGAACGGAAAAATTTGAATAAGAAGCTGGTAACAGTGTTTGGCCAGTTAGCTTAGCTTAGCTCACCGCCAGAACGGTTCTAAACGACTTTAACGGCAACCCAGCGCTGGAAAACGGATCGTTTTTGCGGTGAATCGCTTCACCGTCGCCTCCAGCTGCTTTTCGGGTCAACCGAAGACGATTTTGACAGGTTTCTCCTCTCTGTCTGTCAGTCAAGCTGTCTGTCTGTCTGTCACTCACCCTGATGCCCTTCACAACCGTTACGTTTTCGTTCTCGTCTGACTCGAACGACACACGGCGCGAGCTGTTATTGGCTCCCATGTCTGACAGGACAAAACAACAACAGCAGCGGCGTCACCGACGAGTTAATTCATAAACTCGTAACTCGCCTTTACGGGCACGAATTCTCAGCACATCTATCTGTGCGTTCGGGCCGCCGACGACACGCGCTCACGCACCGCTTCCGTCTGGAGCCCAGCCCACCCGCGGACAGCCAATCAGCGCACGTCTGTAGGGTTTCGCTGATCCTCAAATCATACGTCCACAAAACTTCTGTGAGCATATGATGTGTAGATCTCGGAGGCTGCAACAGCACGCTAGTCCAAACCGTCGCTGAGTGGCTGTGTGGTTAAAAACCAACAGCTCGACTTGTGGCGTTGTTATGGTTACCAATCGTTGAGCCTAATTTATATTTAAGTTGCATTTTTCCTGCACATTATTATTATTATTATTATTATTAGTATTGTTGTTGTTATTATTCGTAGTAGTAGTATTGTGGCATCCCGGTACATTATTGTTGTTGTTGTTGTTGTTGTTATCATGGAGGGGGCTCCATGATTCACAGAACAGGCTCTAGAGCAGAGGTCACTAATAGGCGGGCCGGTGTCCGACTCCGGACCCAGACGCTGTCCTATGCGGACCTGGACCTATAACCGATAAACTATGGAGAACTATTTCATTATTTGTACTATTTGTACTTTTGTACTTTTTGTTCCTTGTTGCTCCTTGTTCCTGGAGGAACGTAATTTCACTCCACTGTGTACCTGTACATAGATGGAATGACAATAAAAGCCTCTTGACTTGACTTGACTTGGCTAATTACGACGGGGCGGTCCTATTTTAATCGCTGTGACTGTTCTAGCCTGTACGGTAGCTTTACTGGCCCGGGAGACTCACAGACCAATCACATGAGTTGTACATATCACATGTGACGCTACTCAGCCAGTCAGATCTGTGCATTACGATGAGCACTGAGACTTGAGTCAGTGACTGACACACAGGGGAGGGACGAGGCGTGAAACAGCAGTCAGAGAAGAAAGTGAGTCAGAGGGAAGTTATTTCACATAACGTGATCTAAAAAGAGAAAACTGACAATAAATGTTGTTGTAATATGACTGAATTGTGCTTTATTTGATTTGACATTCAGTTGTTGACTGTATAAGATGTTGATATAACTACTAGGTGTAACTACTAGATATCACTTTTGTTTACAGTATATGGCACTGAATCATGATGCAAGTTGGACATTATGATGTTCCGGATCTTTGCTTGTGTATGTGTATGATCATAACCACATGTTCTTTTCCGCTGGTTTTAAAAAAGAGCACCTCTCACAGCAGAAATCATGGCCTCTCCCTTGTCTCCTTCTTTGCCATGACTGTGGTGGCTGCCACAGGATGCATCGCCTCTCGGGAGCTTGGGAGGCATGGCCATGCAGCAGTCCGCTGGAGGTGTGTGCCCCCAGTAAAAAGGCAGGAGGTGTATGTCACAAAGCTGGATTTCTCAAGTGTAGCCAGGTAATTTAAGCCCAAAGTCAAGCCTGGCCAATAGAAAAGGAGCTGGGAAACATCTCTATTGGACAGTCCTTTTCTTTAGGCTTAAGTTATCTGGCTAACTGAGAAATCCTGCACTGTGAAATACCCCAGAGACTGTTATCATTGTTGTTGTCATGTGTTTGAATTGCAATAGAGTTGAATTGCATGGCTGTGGGTGTCCTTTCCAGCTATTTCTGTGTTAGGCAAGAGGCTTTTCTGCCTTGTTCAAAATAAACAAGCATTTTCGAGCATAAATTATGGCCTCTTCTGGCTCTTCTTCTGCATGACACCACATTAAGAGCTGTCAAGTCATTTTTGACTCTTGCAATCCTCAAAAGTGATTCTCCAGAATGTCCTGTCTTCTGTTCAGGTCTTCAGGCTGCTGAATGGCTGGTTCATGATTCCACTGATTGTATCCATTCGTCTTGTTGCTGGTCGTCATTTTCCCATTTTATCTTCAACTCTTCCAAGCATAATGGTCTTTTCCAATGAATTGGTTCTTCTCAAAATCTGTCCAAAATACGATTCAGTTTGATTGTCTGGGTTTTGAGAGGAGGCTTGATTTGTTTGTTTGAAGTATGCATGACTGACAATCTTCATAGACTTGTCTAACCAGCAAGTGGCGAGTATGAAAATTAACCACGCTGTTTAAAATCTGAGCCTGTGTGTTGGACATGCTGGGAACTTTGGGCTCATGCTGTGAACTGTCTACACTGCTCAGAGGAAAGGTGGCAATTTTTACGATACCTCCAGCGGACTAATGTGCTAATGTCCAGTTGAATGACCCAACTAGATATGTGACAGCTGTCCTGTTTGCGAATATGAAGCGGGTCCACTGGAGCACAGATGTACAGAAAAATAATGAAAGTCATGTTGTCTTATGTGCATGCTTTACACGAATTCCCAGATTGTTCATTAATATCTGTTGTAATAGTATAATCATAGTTGGCTAGTGTTTCATGGTAACATGCCATTCAGTCTATAAACAGAAAACTCTAGAGCCCATGTGTCAAACACAAGGCCTGTAGGCCAAATCAGACCTGCGGCACAATCCTAGCCGGCCTGCAAAATTATTTTGATTTTCTTTTAACATTGTCCTGTTTTGCAGCATGCACTGCAATGTAATGTGTGCACCCACCCCCACCCCCCCCAAAACAATCTATGAGACAACAATTACTCCACAATTCTACCACACCAGTCACATTACCAGCTGCATTTCAGCTGCAGTTTAACCAATTTAAACACTTAGCTCAGCAGCTCAGAAACTGATCCCAGGAAATAATAAACTTGCAGCAAAGAAAAGATGGCAGATGATCAAGCACATGGATAAGTTTAAAAGACATACCTCGATGAGGACGCTTTTTATGTGTGTGTATGTGTACGTATATATATATATATATATTTATGTCTATATGTATATACATATATATATATATATGTATATATGTATGTATATATACATACACATACATTTATTCACACATATTGCTGCTGTTTAAAAAAAACCTTGTATTTCCATTTTTGTCATTTTTCAGTTTTTGTCATAATTTGAAAATGCCTGTTGTCTTGTACATTATGTGTAAATTTCATGAGGAATGAACCAAAAGAAATGGCCCTAAAGCACTTGGAAAAAAGTGTGGTTCCATTGACTTACATTAAAAGTAAATTAAGCTTTTTCCTTGTCCTACTGATCATCTGAACATATATATATATATATATATATATATATATATATATATATATATATATATATATATATACGTACATTTAGATAGATAGATGGATAGATATGTATACATTCAGCATTAATGGTGCCTTCACAAATGTGCAAGTCACCCATGTAATGTGCACTAATGCACCCCCCCCAACCATCACAGATGCTGGATTTTGAACTGTAAGCTAAAGAGCCCTCTGCTTATTAGCCCGGAGGACGTGGTGTCCATGACTTCCAAAAACAATTTCAAATTTTGATTTGTCTAATCACAAGACACTTTTCCACTTCACCTCAGTCTATCTTACTTGAGCCTGAGCCCAGAGAAGGTGGCGGCGTTTCATATTTTCACATGCAACTGAGAAAAACTAAAGCTTTTTTCTGGTACTGGACATGAACTTGTATAGATGTAGACATTTGTGTGAGTGTGTGTGCAGAACAGTGTGCTAATAATAGGCTTACTGGCAAGCAGCATAGATAATTAGCCAAATTAGATGCTTTAGAGTGACATAAATTGATCAAAAATACCATTAAATCGTTAATTGTGATTGTTGTAAAGGTTCCAACTGTCTCTCAATGTCACGCATTCGGTCAACTCTCTGAAAGAAACGGACTTCATCTCCCAGAATCCTCTGGGAGATCACATGACTCGGCAACTTCCCTCGGACTCCGACTCCATTGCCCACAATTCTATGGGAGATCACGTGACTTCTGACACTGGCTTACGTTCCAATCAGCGCTCCAAATCACCTGAATATTAACTGGCAGCACCTGTGTAGTTTACTTTATAAGCCCGGGCTTTAGTCTAATTCAGTGCGAGGTATTGTTTCCTGTTGAACTACCGAGCGTTTGTATAATGACTGCCTTTATCCCGTGTTTGAACCTTTGCTTTGTGTATATCGACTCTGCCTTTTTGTCTTTTCCCTTTTGAGCTTTTGCCTCTACGGACTGATCTGTGTTTTGGAACTTTTTGCCTGTATTTTTGACTTCGTCTTTTGCTCTGCCCTTTTTCGGTTTGTTCGCCTAGTATTATTAAACGCCAGCATCTTTTACTTCCGCGAGCGTCAGGTTTCTGTTGATACGTCACACTCAAGCAGGTGGAATCAAACTAGAACTAGAGTGTTCAGTTAGTTCATGTTGGATTAGTTCTTGTTTTTGCAATAAAAACACCCTAAAAAAATAATAAAGTGAATGTATAAAACCCTGCAATGAAATGTGTGGCTGGTGCAAGTTCATGATTATATGACACCACACAAGTCATGAAGTTATTGACCTGGGAAGATCAGCTTAAAATGCTTTCTGTTTTTCCAATATCTTGGGTAAATAATCTCAGGATTAGCACAAATCCTGTTGTAGCAGTGCAGAGTCACCTTCATTATCCACCCAGTCAGTTCTTTGCTGCTGTGCTGTAACACAGTTTTGTCCTATTAACTTATGACCAGTGCAATGTAACCAAATATTTGACTCACATGCCTATTTCTGCAAAAAAAGAAGACATTTTATCATTTTAGTGTTTTTCAGGTTCAAACTTTGACTCATTATGTTGAAATAATTGCTTATTTTCTCAAGGTTTTGACTTAGTCAAAGTAATGACAAAGATGGAAAAAGTTATTACTTTATTATTTTGGCATAATATGTCAGAAATTGTAGAAAATAAGTGATTAGTAAAATTATTTCTACTTTGTTTGAAACACAAGTTCATTTTCAGCTGGTGGGATGAGCTCATCATGAGCTCTGCGCCAACTGGAATGCATTTGGAAACTGTGAAATTGTAAAAAACATGGTTTAATTTCACTGAGAACACTAAGGTCATTGGGAACTTGGTGATTTTAAGCATAAGCTCATGCCTTCATGCAGTACATCAAAGATTGCCCTGCTAGAAAAAACAGCATAGACCAGCATTGCTGGTCACCAGCAAAACCAGTGTATGTTGTATTTTGGGTA